TGTAGGTGACCGGGTTTCATCTTGCCTTGAACTGGGGCTTGGCCAGGTCCAGCCTGGACACTGGCCTCGGGGTGCTGAACATCGTCTAGGCCAGTGGGATCTTCAATGAGAAGAATAAAGCTCTCGGATGTTTACATTCTGTCAGGCAAGGGAAAAGCAGCAGCATAACTAGCATTCGAACAGGCGATGCAGGATGACCCCACTGAGAAAGTCCTGCTTGAGCAAGCTCTCAGGAGGCGAGGGCCTTGCCCAAACTGGCGGCTTGGGGGGCGTCTAACAGGCAGAGGAGACAGCGCCAGCTGAGGTCCTGGGCAGATGCACGCTGGACGTGTTTGAGCACAGAGGCCTTGTGGCTGGAGCCAGCGAGCGGCCAACAGGAGATGTAGTCAGAGCAACTGGAAATTTGTTTTAATATAAAAAAATTAAACATAAATATAAGGAGAAAGAATAGTGAAATGAACCCCCATACACCCCAAGTTTGTCTCATCACGTATCAAGTCATTGGCCAGTTGGTTTAATTTACACCAGCGCCCACCTCCACCTACCCCGGGGTTAGTTCGAAGCAGTCCCAAACATTATGACATAATCGTGTCTCTAAATATTTCAATATATCTTTCTGAAAAATAAGGAAATGTAAAAGAAAATATTAACACCATCATCCCACCTAAATCTGCGAAAAAGTTTCACCCTGCATTCATCTTGTGTTCACATTTTCCCTGACTGTCTCATACGTTTCTGGGTGCCGTTTGCTTACTGCAGGATTTTGGGCACAGAAGCAGCCTGGCCTGGCTCACATTCTAGATGCATCCATCTGGCCACTGTGCTGAGGATACACTGCAGGGGCAGGAGACTGATTAGGCAGTGACCACAGGGACAGAAAGAGGTAGGGCGGTGGCCCAGAGCAGGCGCAGGGGCTGGGGAGCACCTCTCTCGGGCCAGATGGTATGGCAGACAGTAAGGACACTGAGAAAAAGCCAGAGCTCGTGCCCACTACAGACCCAGTGTCCAGCAGGGGACAGCGAGCCGAGGGTCAACAGGGCGATGGTGAGAGTATTAATCGAGGTGCACCGGAGCACAGAGGGGGGTCTGCTCTTGTCCTGCTTACTCTAGCGAATGGAGGACGATGACCAAGCGTGTCTGCAGGAACCTCTGGCCCTCCAGGTGTCGCTGAGGCTTCCCTGCCTCGGCCGTGCTCCGTCCCACGGATGCTGCTAGCGGAGTGGCTGTGCCTGTGGAAACAGCAGAGACAGATTTGGTGTTGGCGTGGGCTGGAAGCAGCTTCCTGTTCAGTCAGCCTCTGGCTGAGTCAGGGAAAACAAGACAGAATGACTTATTCAAAAAATTACATCTCTCCTTTCCTCGTGGTGACCTGTCATTTCCTCCTCATCATTTTCAATTGAAACGTCACTCTGAAGTACTCCTTAAAGTCACTGCACACACACAGGCTGTACCAAGGGAAGAGGCGAGGCAATGACAAGCCCCAGGGACCTGGGCATTGAGAGTTGAGGCTAAAATACTGGATGGGGAAAGGGACCTGGGCCCTTTATTTTAGAGCTTTGCGACAGGCAGACTGTAATCCCCAGCAAGGTAAATACATTCATTTGGAAAGCTGGTACTTTTCCACAGCCAGGCAGTGAAAGGGGAAGGACGAGAGCTAGGCACCCTCTGCGCCCTCCGCTGAGCTTTGGGAGCCGAGTGGCCCCCTGCTGGAGGACGGCAGGGCTGGGTGGCCTGTGGGCTCCCTGCCTGAGGCGTGGTAGGGCAGGTGCTGGGTGTAGCTTGCTGAGGATCTCATTTCCTCCTGCTGTCTGAGCTTGAGTTTGATGGGCAGAGGTTGATGAGAGAGCAGTGTCACTTAGCTAAACTGGGAGGTGCTACAGTGTCATCCGAACCCAGAATGTTCCAAAGAACCAACCTCTGCTTGAGGCCACTGAGGCACTTGGACACTCAGAAGCTTCCAGGAGGTCAATTTTTCCAAAAACATTTGGTCATGCCCTCATCATCCAAAGTAGATGGCCTGTCACTCTGACACCAGCCTGTTTTAATTTTCTGCAGGGGACTTACCTGATGGTCTCCTTGTCTGAGAGTTTGTTTTGTTTTCTCCACTAGAATCTACGTCTGTGAGAACATTCTTTGCTTTCGTACCAGCAGCATCTAGAAGAGTGCCTCACACTTGTCAAACATATATGTTTTATACACGCATAAAGCATATACATAAACACATGAGCATATAAAGCATGCATAACTGCATAATGGCATTAATGAGCATCTGACACAGTTAGGGTGTGAGAGCGAATGATTCATATATGGGGCAGCGGACGGGACCCAGGCTTGGGCATCTGGTCACCTGACCTCTGACCTCTGACCTCTGACAGGGAACGTCTGATTTTAAAGAAGGGAACGTGTCATTGTTTTTCCTTTGCCTCGACCTTGCTCTAGATGTGCAGCCTAGATATCTTCTTTCCTCTTCTGGACAAAAAAGAGTGAAAAATATTTTTTTAAGAGAATTCTATGTTGTCAGGCATTTATTTTTTTTAATTTCTTAATTTTTCAATTGCAGTTGACATTCGGTATTAGATTAATTTCAGGTGTACAGCATGGTGGTTAGACATTTATGGAATTTATGAAATCATCCCCCCAATTAGTCGAGTGCCCACCTGGCGCCATACGTAGTTCCTACTACGTCATCGATGCTGTTACCTGTGCTACACGTTACATCCCTGTGTATGTTGTCAGGCATTTAAACTTAATATAAAAGTTAGAGTTCTGAACTATACCATCGTCAGTGTGGAAGGGGTCTCTCGAGTTTGGCAGTGAGAAATTTAATGCCCGGAAAGGCTAAATGACCTCCCTGCTCCAGGCCACTCAGGCCTCTGCCACTGCTCTTTCCACAAGCCTTCCCACAGGTGACAATCTCTTTGGTTCCTTTGATCATTGCTTAACATCTTCTGATTTCTCTTTCTCGTCAGTTGAGAACTGGAGAAGTGTTCCTATTGAATACGACGCTCCCCTTCTTCCTAAAAATAGGGTGACCCCCAGATGTCTCAGGGGTAACTGATTGTGTCCGTTGCTTTAATATTTGTAGAACAGCATCTGTCTGTACAGGTACAGAACTGACACACAGTCGAATGGTCAGTGCTGAGCTGGCTCTTAGCTGGGAGATGCTTCTCACGGAATGCTCACTGGGATCCTACGGGGGGTGGCGGTTTTAAGCCCCTTCTACAAATGAGGAAACCAAGACTTAATGGG